CATTTTTGAGTGTGCTATGAGGGTAAGAGAAAGAGTCAATATGTATTTGTTTCTCTTATTCTTTCCCTCATGCTGTCTATTCATGCTGCATTTTAGAGAATTCATTGTTTAATAGGAAAAGCAAACTAATGATTATTTTTTTGTTATGGTTGTGATTCCATAAATGAAAAAGTTAAACCAATTCCATGCAGAACATCAGTTCCCCCTTCCTTTATCACATCATCTCTTCCTGACTAACAAACAGTGTTTCAGCCTTATTTAGAGGACATAAACATTGATTTTCTGGTTCTGTTACTTCCTCCTTCTCCTCGTATATTATAAACATTTTCTGCAAAAAGTGAGTTAATTGAGTTTAAGAATTTCCATCTGGCTCCTGTATTTTGCAAGCCAGAACTCTGATTGTGTAAATCAGAACTCTTCAGAAGAATGAATAATCATATAAATTCAATTCAATAAGCACATTGTCAAACAAACAACTACTGGTGATCATAACACAGTGGAACGAACACATCTGGAAACAGCCATGTTTTAAATCATTTATGGTGGCTTAAAATAGTCTTTAGTTTTCATATTTACCGACAGGATGTTTTGCTACAGATCGAGTTGTTGCATATTTCAGGCTGGGATGTTCGATGAGCAGAGCAGGGCAGGGTTCTGGAGCCAAAGCCTTCTGTGGAGACGGTTTAAAGATGTCTTTGTTATGCAAATGGTTTAAAATGTTGTGCCACAAAAGATTACTGATGCAGAAGTGATTTACACAATGTCTTCAATATGTTGCCTTTATTTCAAGGCCCTCAAGGAAGTAGGACATCTTTAGAAAATGCACAAAGCTGTGTTTGTTGGTCTCAGTTCCATTAACTCGGGCCAGGCAGCTCCACTGAACCACAACTGAGCACAGTCCTGGTCTGAGACTGCCAGCAGAGAAAAATCTCCCCAGCAGGGTTCCAAAACTTAGGATTGAAATACTGCAAAGCAGATTTCAACTTTGTTTTGGTTTTGGTTTGTTTTTTTTTAATGTTAGATTCTGTTATGAGGACACAGATTGTGAATTAAGCCTTATTTCAGTTTTCTTTTTTGCCATTTTTGCTGGTTTAGACACCTTTCTTGATGACTGCCCATCATTGCCCTTCATGTAATTTTATAGCTCCAAATATCTTAGAAAGATTTACATGGAATACATATCATAAGAAAAAATTAAAATGTTAAAATAGATCTTGTTTCTAAGGAAAAACCCCTACAATTCCACACCTTTGGCCCAACCTGGCTTCCATCAGTCATTGTCCAGGTCACTAGAATTCAGGCAGGTTATGCTTAAACCAGCACTTTTGCAAACCTGACTCTATTAAAATTTATCAGCTTCAGGAACAGCAGAATCAAACAGATTCTAAAGCCATATCACTATTCCTATAAATACTGATGAAGGGAACATTTCTCATTACCCAGTTCCATTATTTTTTACATGTCTTTATTTAATGAAATTAATGTTTAACTATTTAGCATGTGTGACCCAAATTTATCCAAGTTCCTGACAGATCAGTCTGAAAGCAGATTAAATTACATTAATTTTCATAGATGTTATTCTAAGCATTCCTTTTTGCCCATCAGTCTTACTAATGCTCATTTTAATACATGAAGATTATTATGATGATTTAAAATCTGAATTACCTGATATTATAATCAAATTATTAATTATCTCTGATTAAAAAACCCCATCCTATGAGTAATTAAATATTTTAAACAGTTTTGCAGAATAAAAAATAGTATATTTAAAGAAACTACAAAATAATATATAGTAATACAACATTACAACTAATAATCTATTTTAATAGTTCATTTAAATTAGTTTTACCTTGATATAATGAACCATTTGAATTGTAAAGTCATCCCTGGAGTTTTCAAGAATAAGGGTACCACCCATGTTAGAAGTGGTGTTGTGAAGGTCAAAAATAAGGTCATAGGCATCATCACTGCCTTTTGGACCAAATATATGATTGATTTCCTGAGCCCTTCTCACTTCATATGGAATATCTTCCACCACTGGCCTGCTGTTAATATCAGCACAAAGAAATTAGTGAGCTCATTCCATGGCTTTACAGTCAACAAAACATGTATAGCCTTTTCTTTTGACTTTAATTCCATAATGGACTGGAGGTGAAATCACCTATTTAATTACCAAACTCTTAAAACTGGCTGAATTTGTGCTTGAAAAAAGCAAGTGGGATTGTTCCACAGGTATTACTATTATGTGTCTTGTGCAGAAGGGTGTTAGAATTATTCAATCTGATTTTAGCTGGAGACAATTTACTTCTCTCATTTCTTTACATCCCAAAATTTCCCCCTATGCGTAAAACCAACTAAAAATTTGTCATCAACTTGAAGCACTTCCAAGACTGGGTCCACCTCCTGCTGATGACAATATTCAGACATCAGTCCATGATGTTTTGCCTTGGACATCACTCTCAAGGTCTTTTGTGACTTGTTTTATTTCTTGTCTTCTCATACTCCATTGCTTTCAGCCCTCCTGAGTCTCAAAGCTCACAGAATATTTTGCTGCCTCAAATCTGTTCCTCCTAAGTTTTAACACTTGTGATTTCAGGTGACTAAGCCTGTATTATGCTTGAAAAAAAAATGGTCTCAGCCCAAGGAAATGTGTGGGATCTGCTTCCAGTCTGTGTGAGGGCTCTGTAGGACACAGGACACATCTATCCTGTGTAATAACAGTGTATAAAGCTTCTGTGGCCTCAGACCTGGTCCCTGTGGACAGTAAATCTGGTTTGGATGACAGGCTTGGGACACCACCCAAGTACAATCCAGACACACTTGCAGTGTTTTGCACTAAATTCAGTTTTCTTTCTCCATACAGCTCGAGCTTTGTAATATTTGAATTTTGTAAGAAATACTGGTATTATGTTGCATAAAGAAGGTTTTTTGTGACATGCTGACAAAACACCTTACTAATTGCATGGGTATTTAAGCAGCACAGGAGGTTGCTGAGGAAAATTATGGGATCACTACTGCTGGATCATTAGAAATGGCAAGACATAATCTGCTAGGAATGTCTACATGCAGTTGATCCAATGGTGTGATGGAGGTGGATTAGATTTTTTTTTTATGTGAGCCCCTAAAGCTCCTTTTTCTATTTCTGACTCCATGTATCACATAATCTACCTTTGTATTCTTTAGTTCTGTCTTTGTAATTTGAGGTTTCTTCACATAAGACTGTTAAATTTATGCTTCTTATTGAAGCCAATGGGACTTACACCATTACTTGGAACAGTATAAGGATTTCACTCTCCTTCTTATTTTGTAAAATCTTAATTTATAATCTTGAAGGTTACACTGAAATGATCACAGGAAGCTACTCCACACAGTCAGCAGTGCTGTAATAGGACCAGGCAACTTCATAGGATTTACTGAGGAGTATTATTTAAAAAATGAAGACAACCTGCAGGTGTCTTAATCTGCTGTTTTTTCATGTGTTTTATGTTCAAAGCAGCTGAAAGCAAACAAAACCACTTTTGGGTTTTGTATGTTTTTCCTAAGTAAACAATTAAAAGAATGACCTCAACGCTTATGTGTTAACATCTGTTTATCTTAGATATAATAATCAACAAAAAAGTTCTAAGATGAAAAGGCAGCTGAAAAGGTGTGTAGGGTAGGAGTAACTATGTTTGCAAAATATGTATTTCCTTCAGTGGTATTCACCTTTACCATTAAAAGTGTTCTGAAACAGAATTACCTGATTAGCATGCAACCATACCAAGAATAAGAATGTTTATACAGCAAAGTACACCTCTGGAATAGGTATCTCAAGAGCACAGAAACTTCAAATCCTATTCAAAATGTAAAATCAGTTACTGTTTTACAGTAATTACTGGTTGCATTTCTTCTAAAATAATGAGTCAGTTAAATTATTGAGATTTTTTGGCTATCCTTTTGCCATAGATTATTTCTAATTTAGCTAATTTCAAGTTTTCATCTTTTACTGTACATAAGTGGAATTAAATACAGTTCCCTGCTTTGTGTGCCATTCTTTCAGATACTCAGATGTCAACACTTAAATTGCTTTTATCTGCCATTTCCTGCAAGTGTAATTGTATTCAGAAGAGCTCCAAAGCTAAATTGCACAAGACGTGAGAAATAATGACTTTGCAACCCAGAACTGTGATACTCCAATTCACATAAATACAGCTGATCTAATTCTATTTTAAAATGCTGTGTTTAAGGTAATGTGTTGGCTCGAGAGTCATTCTACCAGCAATGGGAATTAATCTGTTAACACTCACGCAGTTCATTCTTTTTTGGGTTAAAGGTCAGTGATTTCAGTTATGTGACTGCACAGTTAAAGCAGCAGCGGAACTCGTGTTAACATTTTAATCTGGGAAGGATTTTTAAAACTACAGTTTTAAAAGTAAAAACAACAGAAAGTCCAACTGTTCTTACCCAAGACTGTCAGGGTCAAAAACCCGGTTGAGATCACAGTCAATGTATCTCGTGCACTTCTCCACAGCTCTGGGGTTGGTGAGAAATGGTTTCACTTCCATTCCGGGTCTTTGGATCTCAGCTCCGTTCTCTTGCCAGTGCCTGACCAGTAACACCCCTGATAACTCATTGCCATGAGTTCCCCCGAAGATACCGACCCGTCTCACCGGAGGTTCAGCAAGAGCAGAGGAGGAGGAAGTCATGCTTTTCAGCAGCTCTAACAATTGCTGAAGGCAAACCAGAAAATAATAGTAAAGTAAAACTTTTGCCTCCAAAAAGAAAAAAAAAATTCAGTAGGAGACTCTCTAAGCCTGTTTAGGTCAGATGGGAAAGAAAGTGAATGAACATTTCTCTAAGAGTTCTTGACTCCCGTTTTGAGGTGGGAGTTGCCAACCTGACCCTCCTCCCTCCCAAGGAGCCTCCCCTCCAGTTTCCGTATTTAGTAACGTCTCCAAGGCTGCTCATGGTACTGTTACACAGTTCAAAAGTTAACTTCTCCAGGAAACCTCTAATAATGTATGCTATGTAGGTAAATCCTGTACTAATGACAGTATAAAAGACTTTTTTAATGTAAACTTTAATAATGCACTTATATATCTCTGACATTTTTGCACTGCACTACGTGTAACAAGTATTCTCATGTTTGGTTACATAAATATTACACTATACAAGGGCAGAATAATTTAAAGGGAGCAAAACCAGTAGAATAAGAATCATATCTTGGCTCTAGTCCTGCACAAAATGCTGAAACATTAAGTATTTTAATTTAAAAAACCAAAAACAGCTGAGTTCCTCAAAGCATGTTGGGGCTTGTACGACCTTTTTCATTTCAGAAATCTGAAGAAGAGTGATTAGAAGGAACACGAGCTGAAATTACAGTGCAATTTATCCATGACTGACTTACCAAGCGTTCCTGGCTCCAGTTCTATCTCGGGATCTGCTAACACAGACCTCTAACACACTGAAACAACTTTGCCAGGGACAACCCTCTAACTTCTGCAGTCTCTTACTAAAAAGGAAACAGATCTAGACCGTGATGGGACAATAGTTGTGTTCTTCCCCCCAAAAAAACTTAGTCAGCAACTTTTCTTCCATTTCCAAAAGCTTTTGAAAA